CTTTAACTTGGGTTCATGGACATGTCAGTATGCATCACCACTGTGCCTGCTGTAGCCTGCCCACAGGACTAAAAGATCCTGGTCATTTCAGGGCCAAAATAAGAGAAGAAATAAATATGAATGAAATCTTACTAAAATGCTAGGATTACCCCTTTGTTTTCCCTATATAATCCAATATTCACAACATGATAGAAACAAATCAAAACAGACAGTTCAGGCTTTCTCAGATTACTAGATGGCAGACATTGGTTTAAAGAGATGATAAAATTATGTTTAAATACTACAACTGAAAATGTGGTGAAAAAAATGGGCTCAATCCAGCCCAGGTGTTTCTGGGAGCTGCATGTGGAGAGGCCCTGGAAATCAGACAACCTCATGTGCCACAGGAGCTCACCTGTGCAGGCTTGAGGCCACAGTGTTTGTTGTACTGTACACAGCCACTCTGTGTCCATCAGTTACCTCCACTGTACCCAGGAATGAAGGGGTCTGTGGAGGTTTCCACATTTGTTTTGCATTTCATATGCTCTCAGCAGTAACAAATAAAGAAATTCCTGAAAAATGGAGTCATTACGTCATCTTATAAACTACCTACTTTGCAGGCTGTACTCTCGCCACTAGAAGATTAAACCTTAGAACAATAACCCAATTATGAGCTAAATTTACATTCAACTGATGAAAAATGATCCAGAACCTGACAAGAATAATCTTTGTTCACAATGTTTAGCACAAGCAACACTGACAGCCTAAAATGTATGAGTTATATCAAAGACGACATATGCTGCACTGCCCAGCTACCAAGGGCACCATGCTCCAGGTACTACACACATAATGTGGGAGTGCTCACCACATCCTGAGACTAAACAAACCCAACAAAAACCAAGGCACAAAACCCTCGGCAGACAAAGAACATGATCCTGCATTACCTCCTGAACAATCAGGGCAAGAAGGATGGCTAAACAAAGTCCTATTATATGGAAGGAAAACCACTGCAATTAATAAAATCAGTGGTCAGGATTTTAAACAAATTTATATATTTTCTGGATAAATATGAGAAAAAGAATTGCTCCAACAATTCTGATCTAACTTTTGAAAAAATCTCCAAACTCTACTTCATTTAGGAAAATAAAATCTTGTGTGCATTTCGTCGGTAATTTTAAACAATTCCACATTTTACGAACCAAGTTCATCACTGGAGTGAGGCACATATACTTTGCAGATTAATTTTGTTACAGTTTTAGTTAGCATTTGTAACAACCTGCATCATGGGTAAAAGACGTCCTTTACTGACACTTATGCTAATCTGGATCTAGCTAAAAAGTCAATTAAGAAATTTCCTGAAGACATCTTCATCATCACCTTGTCCCTTTTTCAGAACTTTTAGCCTGGACTGATTCCCACTGCCTGAAGTCTTCACACACTTCCAGAGATAAATGCTCTGAAAGACTGTGGAAGGCAGTTCCTATGAAAATTAGTTACAGGTATGTCCAGAATTTGTGAACTTTAGCTGCCTGAAATTGGATCCTCAATTTCAAAACATGTCTCCTAATTCTAAAATTCCCCCTCATTCTCAAACTGTGTGAAATGAAACAATTTGCTAGCTAACTAGATAAGGCAGGCATCTACAGAGACGTTTAAATACCTAAAATTGAGAAAACATCATCAATGTTATCTTTTATCTATTTCCTCTTGAGGTATCTTATTCTAAGCCAGCAACTGCAGATGGCACAGTTCAGTGGTCCCCAAGCTGTGGTACACAACAGTCTAGATGGAGCCTGAGCCACTTCAAGGTGAGTTTGAGGCCAAATTCATGGTCCGTCTGCTCAGGGAGCACCACACCACTAACAGTACCCAGTATGTTTTATTTATGTGCAGGCAGAAATACCAAGCACACTTCACAGCTTTTCACTGTCTCACTTGCTGCTGAGATGACCCTAGGCCAAAAAGCACAACCGAGGCTCTTCTGCTGCAGAAGCCTCAGGTCGTGCTGAACAGTCCCTTCTCCTCTCTGCTCCAAGGCAGGGAAACCCAGGACACTTGAACAGCAGATGCCCACAGAATTCCTACTGCCTGCAAACAGTAAGGACACATAGCACACAAACTACCAGTCACACATCGTGTGCACAGCAATTCCAGTCATTAAATTCTTGTCACTCCAATAGTGCTCACTTCTTCCCTGAAAAGTTATGAAGCATTGCTCTGCCTCATACTACAGAAGGACTATGGCAAACTGTTAAGAATTTTGGTTTCTGGTGAACAAACTCAATTAGTTTTTTTTACATTTATATTTAATAGTTGCCAACTGCTTGCTTAGATTTAAAAAACAAAACAAACACCTTCAGAGGTGAACTACCCGTAAAATTTTTGCTACAAAGCTTCAAACTGTTGAAGAGCATCTTCTAGCACATCACCAAAGTTTTAAGACCCCCTCCCAACATCCACAGACGCCCAACTCCCCTTACAAAGTTGACTTCAACACAAGACAATTTCCATCACATTATCCAGTTCATGAGGTGGAGATAAAGATCATTTTTCTCACTCAGACCTTTGCTACTGAACCTGATACCAAGCATTTGTTGCAGAGACAACCATCCATAGCACAACCAACAGAACCGTCAACACAGTCACTTTTTTCCCCACTCACTAAAACCAAACTCACCATCAGCAAGACAAAGTGCTCTCTGCTGAACTACTTACCCATGAACCATTCCCTTCCCTCCCTTCCCCATACAACTATCTGGTAAAAGCACAGAGGGTTTGTTTAGGCATGGAAAAGCTGGCATTTTAAGGCCATAAATCCACAGTGGGAATTAATTAATGCCATAAATCCCATAAAAGTGGAAATTATTTTGTGGGCACTTCCACTTTTATATAAAACATTAGTCAGCAAACAGTTGACTTCCCTAAAGACTTTCTGTAGCACATTCAAGAGTGGTTGATAATTAAAAAAAAAAAAAAAAGTGGAGAGATGCCAGGTCCTTCATACTGAAGGATGAGGAACTCGAGCAAACCCAAAGGAGTGCAACCTGAACCACAAACTGGCATTTCCCCTCCCATTTTCCCCCTCCTCACACCTGCCTCAGCATTCACCCCTAAAGAATTAAACAATTTCCTACAAAAGCAAGAGAAATGGAAAAATATCAGCGCTAAGTAGGACAAGAAAGCATTTTCCACTCTGTTTCTTTTGTACTGCAATAAGGTCTTCTTAAAACTACAATAAATAGAATTATTCCAACAATACAGAGACCATGCTAGATAATTCCAGGTTAAATTATAAAATCAAACAGCACCAAATTAAAGTTTTTTCACTCCTTTATCTCTTCTCAAACCACCCCATCTCCAGCATCTGTAAAGTTCACAGAAGACCAAAAACAAATTCCCAAAGCCTGCTGGTTTCCGGATAAGTCCCAAAAAACACACAAAGTTTCCCAAATCCTTAACATCAGCATTTTATAGGGGGGCTATTGTCTGGAAGACACGGAAGGTCAGGAAAGCGCACGGAAGCTCCCCATCATCCTTACCACGGGCACTCCCACACCTACACTTCCATCCTTTCCCCGAAAAAAAGAGACAGGCCTCTGAAGAGCCCCGAGGGAGGGGAGAAGGCGAACACCCCACAAAGTGCACCGAGGGCAGTTATCTGCAGACGCGGCTTCGGGGGTGCACACACACAAAGATCCCCAGAACGCAAACAAAAGCGAGCCCGTCGCCAGTTCGCATTCCCCGAACCGCCGAGTCCGGCACAGCCCCGGGTGGGCCCCTCCCGGCGCTGCCCCGGAGGCCGCGGGGAGCCGGGGGGGCAGAGCGCAGAAATCGCCCTCTTTACCCCCCGGGCCCTGCCCCAGAGCACACGGGAGAGGCGAGGAAGCCCCCGGGGCTGTGCCGGGGGGCAAGGCGATGCCGGGGCCCCGGTGCCCCGCCGGACGGCGAGGCCGTCCCGGCCGCGGGGGTGGCACCGCCTGCAGCCGCTGGCGGAGGAGGGCTGGGGCTTTGAGTTCACCATTTCCCCGTCCCCTCCCCTGCCCCCCGCGGGCACGACAGCCATGGCCCCTCGCCCGGCCTGCGGGAGCCCCGCCGTCTCTCTCCTGTGGAGCCTCGGCGCTGTCGAGCAGCTGCCATTACTCGGGCCAAGACCCGTCCTCCAAGCAGGCATCCCCCTCCCCAGCGAGGAAATGCGGCGGCGGCGGGGGTGTGTGAGCGAAAGGAAAGCGGGGGAGAGTGGGGAGCAAAGCGGTGGCCCCGCGTGCGGGATAGAGCGGGGCCGGGGGGTGACGGGGCTGAGGCCGGGCTGCACCACACCCTGCCCGGCCTCGCCTCTCACGCGAGTCCCCGGCTCCCCCGCGCCCTGCAGGCCCGCGCGGAGCGCTGGAAGCGGCGATTCTCTACGGAGCGCCCCTCTCCCCACCCCACCTCCTCCCGCCCCGGCCCCGGGGCTGGCTGCAACTCGGCACGGGGGCGCGGGGGACCCGCCGCCGCCTCCCTGCCGAAATTCGACCGGGGAAGGTGTGGGGACAAAAATAATCGCCGTTAATAATCACACGCGCTCCGCCGCCGTCCCCTTCTTCTCCTCGGTTTCCAAGCGGGCTGCCAGATAATCCTGCCCACTCCGAAAAATGAAATAATAATAATAATAAAAAAATCCCGCCTTCCATCTCCCCCCCGCAGCCCCACACATTTTATTATTAAGTATAATTGCTCCCCCCTCCTCATACGGCACCCCGCGGGGAAGGATTGCCCCCTCCCCTGGTGCCCAGCCCTTCCCCTGTCCCCTCTCCCCCATCTCCTTGGAACAGTGTGTACATGATTTTGTAGTTTTTTTAAGGCGCCATGTTTATAATCCTCCATCATATTAAAAAAAAAAAAAAAATCCACCCAGCATGAGACACGGCGTCTCTCGCACCCCAAAGCCAGGGAGGCAGACACAGAAATATCCACAGGGCTGTAAATTCACCCCCCCTCCCGCACACACACCCCTCCTCCCCAGACTTAAAAGTCTCTCTCACCTTGTGCTGCTGGCGCTGCTTCTGCTGCTGCAGGGGGGGAGAAGTTAAGCCAGGGGAAACTTTTCAATCCCTTCCCCAGGCCGCTGCTGCCTCCTCCTTCCACATATTTTTCCCCTCAGAGTTTTATTGTGTCTGAATTTTCTCTCTCTCTCTCTCCTCTTCTGTCTGTCCACAGTTCAGGTTTCTGGGGTAAACAGGGTTTAGGATGGTGCTAGGGATATTTGGGAGAAGGAGAACTCTAGTGGTCTCTGCTGGAGTTGCTGTTTGTTTCTTTTATTATTTTTTTAATAATACATTTGAAACGGATCTTTAACTATTTATTATGTATGTATTTTGTCATACTCTTAGGTCTGGACCCTCTCTTGTTGCAGAGGGAAAATATGGTGCTTATCCAGCCGTGCTACATGAAAATTTCTCCTATCATGAAGTCTAACTTGGAGAAATGACAGATAATGTTTTTGAAAGTAGACACTCACCTTGAGCAACAGAAACTAAAACACAGAGAATCAGCGGTCTGTCTCAGAGCTGTCAATACATCCTCAGCTGTAGATCACAGAAGAATCATTTAAATTGGAAGAGACCTTTTGATCACTGAGTCCAGCTGTAGCCATACTTGCACTGCAGGGGAAGGAAATACATATTAATACAAAATACATAACTTGATAGGAACATATATATGTATATATATATATGTATGTATGTATGTAGCAAGAAAACATAAATTTTCTATTTTTTAATAGACTGCGAGATAAATATTAATAAATGTCTATTGAAATATATCCTAATGTTTCTGAAATTCTTCAGGAATTATTAAATGGGTAAGTAACACTTCACAATTAATTAACTTGACTAGAATTTTACTTTTATTAAAATAAACTGTAAGCTTAGTTCTATAAACATTTATGCATGTAAAAAATTTAGTCATATGAGTAGTCATCAATATTACTGAAATAGCAGAAGGAAACAGTAGTGCTAATATTGAAAAAGAAGCATCCACTGTGCCATGTTGGTAAAAAATTAAACAGTTTGCACACTGAAAAGTGGAAGTTTCTCCAGAATGTCCAGTAAATAAGATTTCTAGTAGTGTCTAAACCCAGTTTCTTTGAGACTGCTGCATCAGGACATTACATCCACTTCTAAAATAAAATGCAAATAATGGTTAGTTGCACAGCTGTGATAAAGTCTTACTTCTATTATGCATTTAAATATGAAAGAATATTTTACATTGTCTAAAATAAATAGGAAGGAAAGTGCTGGTAATCTGCTCTCAAAGAGTGCTTGAGGCATTGGACAGATACCCAGTAGTGGCACAATAATTTATTAACTGCATTATATTGCTTGCATTAATAAAAAAGCAAATTAAATTTACAAGAATTTTTTAAAGTAAAAAGGGATTTGCCATCAGTATAATTACAAATTGCCTTATATTAAGCATGTATTTGTGATGTTTGGCTGTCATTTCATTAAGGCATGTAATTTTCAAAAGAAGTTTGATAGAAATATATATGCCAAGTTTCCATGGGATATTACTGGCTTGCCTGTCCTAGCTTTCTTTGAAACCTTCTCTGTTCAAATTGCATCTGAGCTATATTTATCTACAGGGGGGGAAATAAGAATTCGGGGTCATTACAGTTTCTGCTGTTTCTACCATGCAATAAAGCCAACAGCTCTGCTCAAGCTGACATGGTTAAGGTGCACTGATTTTTGCATCCAGAATCAGAGGACAAACATAGCCAGCAGTCACATAACCATTTTTAATTCTTCACCCCAAACCTGGGTTGGCTGGAGGGATTTGCCATAACTCCAAAACAAAGCTCCAAAGCCAGTCTCAGCTTCTCTAGTGAAAGATTTATTGCTCTGTCGCAGTGCCTTCTCCTTACCTATGTAAATATTTATTTAAGGCAGAAGTTCAGCTATCTTCAGTATAAAGAGGTTTTAGCCTCTTATCTCTCACAGGACCCATAGAGAGCTGTCAAATAAATACTTAGGCCACAGTTTCACCACCATGAAAGCACATGGAGGGCGGAAGCCTTACGGCTTGCCTACTGTACAGGTTTTTTACCTGGAGTCTACCACTTGCCAGCAATCTCCTGTACTTAACATATTTATAAAGGCTAATCTGGACCACCTCCAAATATTTGTTTCAGGACACAAATATTTGATTTTAGAAAGAACAAGGTATCCTAAAGCAAACATGTAGGGAGTGTCTGCAACCATAGCCACGTTACCTTCTCTGAGCTGGGGGGCAATGAATTAGATCCAGTGTGGAAAGACAGGCACAGAGCTTATAAATGGGTGCTCATGGGCCTGCTTTTGGGGTGTTTTGATATCCTCTTTAGGCTCCCTGAGTAGCTGTTTGCATTATATAGCCTTTAGGATGGACATTGAAGGATTAAAAGGAAGCATTTTTGTCTCGTTTTGACTTATTTTTATGTGTATTGTGAAGACTTTTTAATGCTTGTCAGTGCAGAGCTTTGAAGCCCGGCTAGCCGGGCTGGGCTGGCCCGACTCCCGCGTTTACCGCAGCAGCTGGGTGTCTAACAGGAGCCCTGCGGCGGGTCCCTCCCGGCCATTCACTTTCACTGGAGCGGGTCCGGGAGCGCCGAGCCCGGCAGACAATGGGAAGGAAATCCCCCTCCCCCAGCCCCGGCCGCGGCGGGTTTCTTCATCGGCACGGGGAAATGTTTGTACCAACAAAAAGCGGGCTCGGGGCCGTCGGCAGCCCCCCTTCCCGGGGCGAGGGCGGGGGGCGGTGCGAGGCCGCAGGGCCGCAATTCCTCCCGCCCGGCCGGGAAGGGCCCGGGTAAGGGCGAGCAGGAGCCGCGGCTCTGGGGCAGGACCGGCACCTCTCGGGCTGCGGTGGCTCGGCTGGGGAAAGGATTTGCTGGTCCTAAAGGTTCATGGTGAGGGCTCAAGACGCCTGCTTGCTTACGTGGTTGCGGGGAGAGAAAACGCACCACTGCGTCAGTGTTAGAAAGAGAACATGATAAAGTTACTTCCTTCCGAATAGAAAGTACTTGCCATAGGAATACGCCGGTCTGCATTTGTGCTCTGTGCTTTTGCCGGTAGTGCTGCACTGGTGTGTAAACAGGGGATTTGTAGGCACCTCTTCCCTTGGAAAGGGACTTGGAGGAGGGAGAAGAAGCTGAATAAACAAAAAGCACAGAATTAGCATCATCCAGACCAAGAATGTAATCTACTGCCATGAATTAAAGGGGATGTCAGGCGGGTTCATGGGAAGGAAATCCTTTGCAGGTTGTAGACACACAAACCGTGACTTGAGAAATCCCTGAGCTGATCCTCGTTGGGAGCTGGGACATGAATACCCTCTGTCCTGCTGTTACATGTTCCCCCAGGTATGTCCACTACATTTTCCAGGCATGAGAAGACCAACACTGCCTAGTGTCAAGCAGACTGGTAAATATGCCTCCATGGTCCTTTTAAATGCTACTCTTCCCATCCTCTTCAAAAGATCATTCTATTTTCAGTTCTAATACTGGAGAACACAATCCTGTGTGTATATGGCTTTTTATTCTTGCCACGATCTTCTGCCATTCTCTTGCTTCAGTGGTACAACCTGTAGGTGAAGAAGTACATCAGTGCTGGTGGGTTCCAGGTACTGGGCTTGGTATAATGAAATCATCCATTGAATGCTGCCCTTAGGAGAGCAGGGACTCTTGTGTCCTCTCCATCGCAGCACTTGTGCTAGGCTAATGAATGCACATCCCTGCCTTATCCAGGACTTTCTACCATCTTTCTGGCTGAACCAAACCCACCCACTATAAGCTCAAGTCTTTATCTGGCTTTGTAAGATAGCTGTCTTGCTGGTGATGCCAACCCACTTCACTGTGTACTCCACTCCCAGCTGCACTGAAACAAAAATTATTTGAACGTGTTTTCTGGGAGGCAGGTCTGCTGTGTTGTGATCACAGAAGTATTAATGCAGAAAATTAGTGTAAATTTTTCATCAGAATGAAGTTTAGCAACACAGTTTTCTTTGCAGTAAAAATCTCAGCAAGGCATTTAATTTAGGAAGCTGGGGGAAGGGAACAAAGACTTAATAACAACAAGCTCAGGAAATCCATGGAGCTGAAAACAGTTGGAGGATGGGAGAGTCTTAAGGAGAAGGTTATGCTCTTCCTTTTTTCCCCAGGCATTGTAAACAAAATACCAGGCTCAAGAGGGGGACACAGAGCAGAGAACCCCCAATGTCTGCTGCTCCATGAAGCTGTCTGAGGAATGAGTTCAAGTTACCCGGAGATGCTGTCCTTGCAGATGACATGATGAGAGTTGAAATAGACCCTACAGCAGCCAGGATCCTTCCTTCCATTTCAGCTTCCCTCTCCTTGCTATGTCCCTAGCCATGCACACCTGGCTGTGTAGTGCAGCCTACCCACAGTGCTCAGAGGAACTTGTACAGGCAGAGTTTCTAAAGACATTCTGGGGTATTTGTTGAAAACAGTACATTGTGGGGAGGTAGAACTTTGATTTGATACCCTATGGCTAGTCCTTGTGTGTGTGAATTCCTTGTGGATATAGCTGGTAATAAAAAAAAATCCACTCAGAGCTAAGTCTAGCAAGTATAGATGTAGACTAAGATACAAAAATGCACCTTTTTTTTTTTCTTGAGTGTGTTGTCTCTTTACATTTTCATGCACAACTGGGAATAGAGGTTTATCCTAAAAAGTTTACCTGTGAGTAAACTGACATATGTTTATGACATATGACATGACATGTGTTTACACCAGCATTATGGTTCATGAAAAGTGTATGCCTGATTCAGCACAGAGTCTGCCAAAGGAAACGTAGCTCCATATTTTCTAACTAATTCTAAACAACAGAGCAAGAATTTGCACCAGTTGCATACTTTCTGGAAAAAACCCTTTAATGTTAATTTTCAAATATACATCAAATTTATCTCACATTGGTCTGTGTTGGTATAATATAGGAAATAATTTATATCTATGTAGAACAAATGCTCAAAACTTACATTTGATTTTAGACTGAAATAGCATCTATTTTTACTTTATGAGCATTCTGTGACTGGAGAAACATCATTTGTCAAAAAACCTGCTGGGACCATGAGGAAATAAGTAGTACCTTTTGTTATTAAATAGCTATAGAACTAGAACTTTTATATGGACACACAATGAATGCCATAATTTTGGGGAAATAATAATTACACTGCACATCGTATTAAATGCCAGCATAGAAAAT